GGTTAGTTTTAGGGTCAGGTAAGTTTCTGTGAGGTTAATTTTAGAGTATATGGTCAGGGTTAGGCTATAAGGTCTAAAAAACATGAATGGAAGTCAATGGAAGGTCTCCACGGGGTCAAGAAACAAACATGTGTGTGTGTGTGTGTATACATAGATATACAGTATATATATAAGCTACACACTGACCTTACATAAGGATCTTTATATGAAATGTTTTGAATGGCAGGGGTATAGAAATAACTCTTTTTACATTAAAGACATGAAAGAAACAAAATATGGAAATAAACAATTCAACAATAAACTAATAAACTATTAACATTATGGTCTTAAGATTTGGATTTTTTTAATAATAAAAATGTTTAAAGTTAAAAAACAAATAATCTCTGCCAAATAACAGTGGTTACAATATTCATACCTTTAAAGTTACATTTAATGTTTACGTTTTCTCATTTTGCACATTCTTTAATCCAAAACAGTATGAAACCTGACAATAAAATATGTGTTAAATTTATTTAAATTATAGCAGGTGCAGACACAGAAAGGTTTTCAGAAAGTAGATCCTTCTGCTCTTATCCGCTCTGAAACAACCCACATGGCCKTTTCCATCTAGTTGATTTTAGAACCATAAGCAGAGCAAAAGTGTCAATCCATGTGTCTAAATGTGTCAAATAAACTATCTGCCTTATTTTACATAAATATTTAAAATGATGTGTCCAGATTTGAATCTTATTTGGAACTAAATCATTAAAATTTCCCTTTGGACATGTTTGAAAGTAGATTTGTGTTAATTTATGTTTTTTTTTTTATTTGTGTGCAGCCAGTGTCACACATTCTTTGAGTCAGTCGGCCTTTCATCTCACAAACTGACCAACAAACACACACATACAAGATCAGACAACCTATAATAATATAATGGTTGGAAATAGCTGTAATTAGGCCCCAGTATGCAGGGAAGATTAGTGACAGGATGTGTCGGAGCYGATAACACAGAAATAAACTAAAAGCGTTCAAAGACCATTAAGTTTTGACCTTTCTGAACAGTTTCTGAATTTTATCACTAAAATAAACTTCTTCTCATTCCACTTTTTATGTAGTTTCTTATTCTTTTCCTCCCCTTTTCGTGACATTACCACAGTGAAATCACCCCTGTGGTTTGGTGGTTTAAGTGACTGTCATGCAACTGAAATGTCCTCAAGTGTATTTCTGAGGGGTTTGCTGATACGTATGTCAAACCACTCCCTGTATTTCCTGCTTGCCTCCATGCAGAAACTTTTAACAAAAAAAAAAAAACATTTAAAGTTTCACACAGAATTTGATGTAGCAAACACCACAGGCTTTAAGGGTGAATTTATCTTCACTCTGTGGGAAATCATTGATAGTTGTTTGATATTATGTGGCTAAAACTCCTAATATAATACCTAAAACACAAACAAGTTCATTAAATGAGGTTTTAATATGAGGTTAAACAATAATTAATGGGCAACATGTAAAGAGGACGTTGAATGTGATATGTTGGGTGCCACTATAAGTGCAAGTACAACTTTCTTTTACCACTAAAGCACCACTCAGATGTCAGTATTTAGCCCTTTGTTCAGTAAATAGCATTTTCTCTAAGAATGAAAAATAAAAAGACTAATTTCTCTTTTACCTTTGATGTGAGTAACTTTAGCCTCATCCAGCAGCCCGGAGGAAGATGCTCCCATATTGTGTTTTCTTGTCTTGTCTACAGAAGCTGCATTCAGTGAAGTCTGTCTGCGCAGGAACACATGTCAACTGTGAGATTTGCCCTGATGTGTCAAGGAGGTGTTGCTCAGCTCATTTCCTCTGATCTGTGTGTGTGTGTGTGGGGTGTGTGTGTGTGTGTGGTGGGGGTGGGGGGGAGGAGCTGTTAAAGCAAAGGGGAAATGTGTCAACATAACTCAATCTAAGTGTCACAGCTGAACATTTAGGGCCATCTGGTGGTCAGACTGAACTSAAACAACTTTTTACCCCTAATAATCAGAAATAATTAACCCATTTTATGCCACTATGTTTGTTTTTATTTAACAATGACACATACACGTCCTTCTCGAATAATAGCATGTTGTGATAAAGCTCATTATTTTCTGTAATATACTGATAAACATTAAACTTTCATATATTTTAGATTCATTACACACCAACTGACGTAGTTCAAGCCTTTTATTGTTTTAGTATTGATGATTTTGGCAAAAAAGTAAAGAAAAATCAAAAATCCCTATCTCAAAAAATTTGCAAATTTCCAGCCTTAAGCTCATCCAGAGTGTTGGGACTTGTCTTAAGCTCATCCAGACTGTTGGGACTTGTGTCTCTCAACTTCCTCTTCATAATATCCCACAGATTCTCTCTGGG